CACTGGCGTCAGAAGGGGCATGGCGGGTGTGACTGCTTTGCCCACTCGCAGGTACTGGCCGCCCAAGTCGAAAAGGTTCATGGAGGACACGGCATCCTGTGCAGACTGGGCCTTATCATATTCTACAGGGGAAACAAGAAGGACTAAGACTCAACAGCTTCTAAGAAGACTCAGCATTAATCTACCACAGCTCTGAGACAGTTACTGTGTAATTACCAGCGGGCACTTATGGCAAAAAGTCCGTAACAGAGCCTAAGAAAACAACGACAACAGAAATAAAAACTTACTATGAAAGCATGTGAGGAACCTGCCCCCACCCTTCTCTATCCCCTGTGAGACATGTAGAGAACAGCATTCTACCATGACTGACTGCTCTCAGTCAGATACATTTATATGCAACCGAATGGGTGTAGCAGCCGCCCACTTACCTATGAACCCATAGCCTTTGTGCTTTCCCGTCGTGGGGTCCCGTGCCAGGGTGCATGACTTGATTCTTCCGAAAGCCTCGAACACACTCTTGATGTCGTCATCTGACAAATCGGGATGCACAGATGCCACGTAAATCCGGTTGAAGGCGCGCGCTTCTTCGGCTAGCTGGTCTATGATGGGTTGAGCCTGACCAATGTTGCTTGGTCGCCCCACCTACAAGTGTTGAATTAAGAGATCAGACATTATTGAATAGGAAAGATTTAGAAAAACAAATATCACAAGTACACTTACAAAGTACTCACTTTAATGTTTCTACCGCCCAACATAACAGAGTTCATCTGTTCTAAAGCGAGCTGTGCTGCTTCTGGTACTTCATATTCTACAAATGCAAAACCCTGCAGAAAGAGTAGCTTAATGTAAGTTAGAAAACAAAGAAAGAAAAACACAAAATGGTAAAAAAAAAAAAAGACCTTTTGACCTTGTGTTTTAATGTAACAGAGTCCCAGGACATGTCAATGCTCTTAATGGGACCAAAAGGAGCAAAGGCCTGTCTGATGGTGTCTTCTCCTAGCTCGTAGTAGATGGACCCAACATAAACACGGCACATTATGGCTAGTGCCCGTTGCCTCTGTGCTGCAACCTGTAATGGACAATTTAATTGATCAGATGGGGCCATGCCAGACACATACTCATTCATAAGAGTTCATCATTCATAGGCTTGTTCCAATGATTGAGGATTGAACCAGAAGACAATAAACATGCTGGCACCGAAGACATAGCACTGGCATTTCTTTACCTCCGCCCATTACACACGTGCACTGAACCCACCACATGTATGCCAACAAAAGGAGGGGATAACAACATCTACTGTATTCTCAAAAAGTTATGTCAATGAAGGTTACTGAGATTACTTGGAGAAACGGTGTTGAACTTACAGACTGTAGTGGTGAGAGGGGATCTCCAAAGCCCATCGTTAATGAGGCCATCTGAAGGGAATTAGGGAGCTGTCAGGAAAAATAAATCAACATGGTAAGTCCATTACTATTGTGCAGCTTTTTTTCTACCACGGTTGGAAGTTGTCAGATGAGGGTAGAAAGGGTTCATACTCACATAATGATACATAATTACAATCATGATTAAATTGTGTATACACCAAACAATGTGTTTTTTTTTCAAACACAATCGCTTTCTAACCGCATTTTTCTATCATCACTATAAATTAAATGTCAAAATAGCTTTACTATGATATTTTCATAATTCTGAAAAAAACCCCAAAAAAACAACAACATACAATTCCAGAACGGCCATGTAATTTGGGCTAAACTGTGAGTGACATCAGCATACATTCTACATAATGAAAGTAATGCTACTATATCTATCCCATGTTCTCATGCAGTCAACCCTCTACAATGTGAGTAAATCACTCGCATATACTACAACCTTCAATCTGGGCGACTAAATGATGTCTAACATTAACCATTGGCCAATAAATTCTAAGATTTTACTTGCCAGTGTGCGAGTTGGAGGCCAAGTATAAGTCTAGCACAGACATATATATATATATATATATATATATATATATATATATATAT